GCGCATTTACCCTTCCACACTCTATCTGATCCCACCGGGTAGTTCCACAGCGGGTGTCAACATTTGCGGTAACAAAGGCAGGTACCTGTGTACCCGCCTTACACCCGCCCTGGGAATGCTTCCCCTGAAGAATTTAATTTATCATTGTTGGTCCAACACTCCCTTTTTTGGGTGTGTTGGGCTGCACAAAGGTGTCAGCAACCCATGTAGGACACCAGCTGGTGTCTTACATGTGTTGCTGAACTAATCTGGCTGCTTTGTTGAGGCCAGAGGGTTCCCTCCGGCCTTTGAGATGGTGTACAGTATTGATGACTGGAGGAATTCCTCCAGTCATAAAGAGGGTGTACAGTCTTGATGACTGGAGGAATTCCTCCAGTCATAAAGAGGGTGTACAGTCTTGATGACTGGAGGAATTCCTCCAGTCATAAAGAGGGTGTACAGTCTTGATGACTGGAGGAATTCCTCCAGTCATAAAGAGGGTGTACAGTCTTGATGACTGGAGGAATTCCTCCAGTCATAAAGAGGGTGTACAGTCTTGATGACTGGAGGAATTCCTCCAGTCATAAAGAGGGTGTACAGTCTTCATCAATGGACATTGAATAAGGCAAATGAGGCCAAGCAAAAGGGTAAAGCTAAAGATAGATCAGAGAGAAGATAAAATTCACATTGGTGATAGAATAATTTGTTTTTCTTTATTTCTTTATTTTTATTTTATTCTTACTCATATATCTAGTGAATATCAATCTTATATTTACCAAGTCATGCAGAAATTCAAGGGTGAGATTTCTGGGTATATTTGCCTGCAAAAATGTGCCAGGTACCCAGAGGTACCCGGTGCAGGTACCCGCCCTGGTGGCCCTAGCAGGTGCGGGTGCAGGTGCGGGTGTCAAAAATATTGGATTTTTGAGGCAGGGACCCGCACCCGCTACAGGTACCCGGGTATCAAGCGACATCTCTATTCCTCTTGGCTGTTGAGACCATTCACATATTTATTTCATTTTTATTCTATCATTTTTTATTATTTTTGTTTAACTAAGACCCCAAATATAATACAGGAAAACCCCTGCATTGGCAAAACTTAGTATAGTAGGGTCTGTAAGACAATCCTCTTGATCAACCATTTAGAAGATAGTACTACTATTGTTGGGTTGTGTTTTTATCAAAGAAAAACCTAATGTAGGTGAGACCAGCCACCATGAAGCACAAGATTGCATCAGAGATTGGAGACCCAGAAAGGATTCTGAGTTTCACATAAGAAAAGATAGCAGCAGAAAGGATAGAAGTTCAACTTGAGAGGGAGGGGCAGAACCTTGGCTGCTATCAAGCTCAAGAAGACAGGTGCTACTGACTCTCTGATCATGATCAATGGCTGTGCAACTGCTTTTTTGCATTCCTATCTATTGAAGCTATTCTCCAGGATATCTGTTCTAAGGCACAGTCAACTAATTCCAAGGGAAACCAATTTTTTTTCTATGTGGTATTGATTGTTGAAATCCTATCTATCATTATTTAAGAATATTCAACAAATACAATGAATTAAAGAAAATTTCTGTTGATTTGTGGAGTTCAAAATTACCTAAACATCTTTTACTTATTTGCATAATCCTGAATAATCTGCAATTTTGACTGGGACCTGTCAATTTGAGTTTTAAGTATGCTGACAGGTCCCAGCCAGAATATTACATTATGCAAATAAGTAAAGCTCACTCAGGTAATTTTGAACACCTTGATTGAATTTTACTCAATCATGGCTGAACAATGCCTGTGATCTGATCAACTGGAAAACACATTTATGGGTTTGAAAATGTGACATGATGTTGGAACTTGAAGGTTGAGAAAGCAAGAATTTTTTGAAATATCCAAAATCTTTAAATTCCCAAAGTTTTACTCACCTTGTCTCCAGGCAGGTTAATTAAACCAGAAACAAATCTGGCTTTCCTGGATTCTTTCCATGAGAAATTCTTTGTATCAAGGGGATGTTGTTCATTAATTCTAGAAAAATAGATGGTTTATTTGGATTCTGTTCAACATTGAAACTATTCTAATTGCCTTAAGCCATAAGAAGTTATTAATTAGGAGTATAGACAAACCAGATGTAAATGTGTATTTTCTCTGAACTCCTGGCAAACTCTGATAGCCCAATGAGGTGTATTTAAATTTGGGGGGGAGGTGGGTTAAAAAGTTCAGTTTGC